GTTACATGCCTTTAAACATCTCTAGCCACATCCTCTACAGTGCTGTCGTGCAGACATTCAGCCTGCTGAGGTTTTTTTTTTTTTTTTTTTTACGGCACATTTCTTGACCTTTACAGACACCCATTACTGGGTTGTCAGTTTTTCCTTTGTTGGGGCTGGAGCCCACTCATTCTGTGCGAGCACTCGAAGGAAGTACGCTTCTGGAAGGTCACAGGTGTCTGAGTGGACCGATAAAATAACTCTATCCCCATGGAGGCAACACATGTAATAAATGATTGGTTTTCCCCAGTRGTTAAAAAGAAACTAGATTATTAATACATGAAATATATTCAGATCCTCTGAAGCCAAGTTCTGTGGAAAGTATRWAAACAATTAATATCTAACCTGTTGTGGATAGCCCTTTTGAATGGCTTTGGTGCGAAAACTGGCTAACTGCTAGTTTGAGTGAAGCTAAGACCAAAGTGAATTTCTGCTTTCTTAAAATATGCCTCAACCCTTCATRCAAGTGCTAGTTTACAAACTGTTACAATGCTATAAACTTCACATTACACTGCTTTTTTACCAGAAAACATTGGCTATATTAAGCTTTTGGGTTTATTCAGAATTAAAATGTATTAACATGAATCCACTCATTAGATTCTCTGCCGAGCTCCGACTTTCTTTTGGGGAAGCAACCCCTCTGTCATTCAACCTTGACATGTTTGCTCCGATGCTTTGTCAGGMACGCAACTAATGATGGTCCCTGTCAGTCAACAATCAGCATTTTCATGCAGGAAAACTTTAATAAATATTAATTAAAGGTCATCAGATAGGACAAAAGACCATCCAAGGCCAAACTGAAACTACAACAATAAACGTCAAGTTGCCACTTTATGAAGTAGCTTTAATTTGGTGTTTTGGCAGAATAAACTAACAGAACAATAATTAACAATAAACAAACAAACAAACAAACAAACAAACAAACAAACAAACAAACAAACAAACAAATAAATAAATAAATAAATAAATAAATAAATAAATAAATAAATAAATAAATAAATAAATAAAT